TAACGTGAACGGCTGCAATCTGTTTGCAAACACAAAAAAATTAAAATTAAGGCACAAGCCGAGATCCCATAACGTGAAAGTAGCATATAGTTATCTGTCATCTTCCACCTTCTTTTACATTATTGCTGATCACTGCTAGCATAGACAACTGCTGTAGTTCAAATCCTACCTGAAGTCGAACACTAAAAAGTCTCAATCCCCAAACCTTGGGCTGAGTGTGCCACTCTCTCAATGGAAGGACCAAATCCATTGGTCGATTTTTAGAGAACTTTGTTAAGGTCTGTGGTTGCTTGTGCTCAACCATGCAAGAGTGGGTGAGACCAGGATACATGTAGTGCATTACATTGCTGTAATACCATTGTAATAAGGTAGAGGGTCACAAAGCCCTTATTCCCAAACATGGATATATGTAGCAAAATGCACTATATCATATGTCATCAGAAGCTAGGAGAGACAACAGTGATTTTCAATATACCAAATTGTTGCCAAGCCTAAAAATATTGTATATTTAAGGTGGTTCATTCTCAGATTGAGTCTGATATTACAATAATATGCCTGTTTCATTTACTTGTCATATATTCAAAATATGAATGGAACTTGAAGCTACCTATGTGCGTATGTGTGTCACTTGTCTAACCAATGGGTGTAATTTATAGTATTATCCCTCAATGGATAATACTGATATGAGTGAAAATTCCTAGCATAACTACGTAGTGATGGCATGTCCTGCATGTATTGAGCCCTTGCGTCATTTCACTCGTCCATAAGACAAAAATCCAGCAGTGGTCGCTTTCTCTGTGATACCATATTTGCCAAAAGCACATCTTTAATAGAAGATCTTTATTATATACTGTATTATTAAAATAATATTACATGCTTGACTAATTTTGACCATACTCACTTTTGTCATTCATGTTTAATAGCACACACGCTTCTAATAAAAGAAAATACAATAGTCACAGATTCCACATTTTTAAAGCATTTATAAGATCTAAATATATCATGAGATGGTGTACTTGTACAGCTCTCTCAAGGTTGATTCTTGTGATAAGCACATTTTGGGAAATTCCATCTGTGACAATTGTGATATTTTGAAGGGTCAAACATCTCCTTTGAATCCTAAATTTGCAGTGACTATTTTGAAATATCATCCTTAGACTTCATCCTTCAGCAGTGTTTGCTTGACACCAAATTTTACATTAAGAATTATTTTCAGTAAGCACTACAAAAACCCAACATTCTGCAAACACATGCAACAGATAATTTTATTAATTTCCCATGTTCTATCTGAAAAAAAACTTTATTAATCCAAAAAATATTTTATTACCGGTAGTTGAAAAGAAATACATTGGTCGAATTAATCTAAAAAAAAACAAACACTTTATTACCAGTACTGTAAAATCTGTATTAGAAGCCGCATCCCTAATAGAAGTCGCACCCATTCTTTTTGAACAATTGAGAACCAAAAATTTATCATTTCTCATATGTGTAGATGCTCTAATAGAAGCTGCATCTTCTTTGTTGCTTTGTACCATTTTAATAGTAGCCGCGGCTTCAAATACAGATTTTACAGTAGTCTAAAAAAATACTTTTTTTTTGCTATGATAGTATTTTAACTACTTGATCTACAGTACATGTAA